GATAGATAGATAGATAGATAGATAGATAGATAGATAGATAGATAGATAGATAGATAGATAGATAGATAGATAGATGGATGGATGGATGGATAGATGTGAAACAGACACTTAACATAGCAGCAATAACAATTTTCCAACTTCAGATTTCCGTTTAACAACAGCAAGATAAAGTGAGCAAAGTGCACATTCTCCAGTCCAGAGGCACACACACACACACACACACACACACGCAAAGGAAGGCAGGCCCACCAGTGCTTGACGTCTATTGCAGGTGAAAGGAAAATGGACTGAATTATACCTATTTCCGAGAGCCGTTGCCCTGTAACCAAGTTTCCAAATTGATGAAAAACATTCTGAGAGACTAAATTGAAACAAAATTGAAGCTCATTTTACAAGCAAACATCTGTTGGCTGATGCTCATGCCTCTGGTTTAGTCCTTTGGCGGCTTATTTTACTGAATAAATAAGTGCATCCTGGGAAGCAGAAGACATCAAAGTGCTTAAACATGTCAGGCAATGTTCTTCTACTTCAACAGATCCCAATACTTCTGACTTCTGCATTTATATTGTCAACTAAAAGAGCCCCATTTAAAAATGTTACAATATTCTAGCAATGTTCTAATGATAACTTTACATTTATTTGGAAGCCTCTGCAATATATTTATTTTTATGTCTGACAGTAAAATTGTCTGCAGAACTAAAGAAACCAAAAACAGATCATTTCAGTTAGGTCTCTGCTGCACTGTCTTTGTGAGCATTTCATTTCATTAGATCAATAGACCTGCTTTTAGACTGTTTTCAGTTCCATTCCAAGCAGAAAGCTCGTGAAAAGGATTGGTTCAGTACAGATTAAAACAATAATTGGTTGCACCAGTATTTGTGTTCGTTCAGTGTGATGTGACGTTTGGCTTTATCTTCTGCTTTTCCCAGATTTCAGACTGTTTTTCACTGTCTGATGCTTTTACAAATTGCACAGTTCATTGGAAGTGTGGAATGTGTGATAAGCCTGTAGCTCAGCATTGGTCTCATGAGAAAGCTAAAAACAGTGCCACTTCAAAAAAAAACATGTTTGCACATAACTTTATATGATTTTCATAGTGAACATTTGCATGTTGGCAAAATGGAGCCTTAATCTAGACCTGCGCGTTAGTATGAAGGATGTACTTGCTGGTGTGTGTGAGTGTATCACTCAGAAAACTCTCAGAGATCCACTTTGCGCTGTAGAAAATCTCTTAACGTATCAATGACATCAATTCCTGATGACTTTGTAATATAGTCCACCTTTCTCCAACGCATGTTGTTCCAAAAGAAATTGTGAGCTGCTGTTTTCAAGACAAAGAAACACGCCAAGCGCTCAGTTGAATATCTGATGTGACCAAATTGCTCTGATTGGGTAGTTGCCAGGCAACTCAATTACCCCTCAAGAGACCAGAGGTTTTAGACGAAGGCTGAGTGCCAGCACCTCTGATATTGTATTATGAATCAAAATCACAGGTATTTACAGGAACAAATTCAAAGACATTACACAGACTTCTGATTGCAAATTTTTGGTCCTTTGTAGCGAGAGTTGTTAGTGTTTAAATGTTTATTGGTCTCTCTGCAATGGAGAAAAATACACATCATATACAAGTAAATCATCATTTCATTGATTCACTAAGTCACTTCTCTGTCTGGGTTGGATGGCCAAAGTCCCAATGAAAGGCTCTTTGCTGTTAATCAGTGAGGAAATGTTTCAAATACCAGCTCGACACACTGAATCCTCAGACACAAAACATTTTCTTCACAACCCTCGCTCCGTTTTTTCAAAGGTAAAGACTGACAACAACAAGTGGAAGCCAGTTTTTAAAATGTTATTCTGAAAATAACATGGAGGAGGAATATGTTTCCCACTGGTTAACCCTCCAGGCTGAAAATGAACGTTAGAAAGCCTTTGACCCGGGGCTAACACATTTTTTATTCAATCTCAGCAGGCGACTCAGACAGTGCTCTGACCAACAACATACAAAAAAGAAGCAAAGAGACTTGAGGTACAAAAATCAAGAGCAGACGAGAAAAAGAAAGAACGAAAACTAACCCATTTTATCAGATGTTCCTTTCTTTTGTTGACCCCCTTCATGAATACAGAACACATGGATGGATGGAGACCGATAGACAGCAAAACTCTTATATTGTCATGACTGTTATTTTTAAAGTCTTCCTTTGGTTTCTAATTGGAGTTTGAAATATTTCACAGCTAATGAGAGCATTAAGAAAAACTTTTCTGTTACAGTGCTGGGAAGCAGCAATGATCTTTTTACTGGAAGACTAATCATCTCTGTGTGATTAGGAGCTGAAGGTTAATGTGAGCGCTTGCAGATGGGAGAGGGAATGAAGTGAGGGTGAGAGAGATCAGACCAGGCAACGTCGGAGAATGGCACAGGTGGGCAGCGGTGCAGAGGCACAGGGGGGCAATGAGTGGTTAAGAGTCTGTCGATCAGGGGGTTGGGGGGCTTATTACACATGTAAATGCAGCTTCCAGCATGGAAGCCCCACTTTAAAGCCTGACTTTTTAAAATTATTCCTTTGCTTTGCACATGATAATTGGGTCTAACTTCGCTCAGGGCCGGCAGAGTATGTAAGTAGAATAAAACACCCCAATGACTTTGTCCATTTTTAATGCTAATCAGTGGAAGGATCTGGACTCATACCATCTTTTATTGATATTGATTAAACATATAATACCTATTGTTTATTTGGTATGGAGTTTGATGGACGTGAAAATCATCATCAGATTTAATGTTGTTTAACTAATTTAATTTATGACACTCTGCTCTAACTGCTGATTGACGTTTGATAAGATAAGACTTTTAAGACTAATTGATCCACATACCAGGGGAATTCACAGGTTACAGCAGCAGAATGAGGTAGACAAGAGAATGAAAATACAAAATATGTACATAAGCCTTTCACTACAAAAACATTGTTTGCATAGACATGTCATTGACAGTGGCTAAGGATGACTGCACTAGCATGTAAAACTGTATTTGTATAAAGTAATATAAGGAGATATTGAGATAGACAATAATCATGAGGAAATGTAGAGAAAAAATGCATTTGAAAGTTAAATGGCATCCCGACAGGAAAACGCTGTATCCATTCAAATGTAAAATTTATTTTCAAGAAACACAATTCTGACAAATCAGTATTTGTCCTTTCATGCATTTGATATTGTAGATTTGTCTCTTCCAGTATATTTACTTTTACTTTCATGATTCTTAATGAAGAATGCATCATAGGGTGAAGTTGATTCTATGAAAAATAATGCAGTCAATGCCTTTCATTTTTTATAATATCCATGCAGGGTATAAATAAAGCAATAACTGCTACTCATTTAAAGAAAGGCCTGAAAACATACCGCTTACTCGTCGGTCTATGTGAAATGAAAAGGCACAGTATCTGATTAACATTGATCAGTTTGACTGTCAAATTATATTTCCAGTGACGACAGACGTTAGAACTGAGATGATTAAAGTTTGCTTCTTGACTGAGTGGCTCACTGAAAATTAATTATATTTATAGCATATATAGGAAGACATTTCACACTAAGAAGACTACACCTATACATGCTGATTTCTTTTCATATAAACCTCCCATCCCTTACATTGGACTGTGAGGTGCATTAGGAGATATTTTTATGCCCAGTATGAATAGATGAAATGATTATAGCAAGCCGAGTAATTTTTTAATGTAAGGATACTTTACATAATGTGTAAATTGATTTGCAAGTATCTCTTCAAACACCTTGTTTGTGATAATGATTTAATGTGCAAAGTGCATTAATTGTGTGCTTATCTACTACTGTGATTGATGTGTACAATGCAAAGACAAATCTATTGATGTTCTAATATAAAATCCACTGCTGATTAGATTTCAGCTCACTTCATATCTACAACCCTTTGGTACAACAGTGTTTTCAAGTGCCCTAACTTCTGACTTTATTATCACCACTACTATTTACACTCTGGAACAAACACTTGATCACCATAACATTTATCTTCAAACAACAATCACATAATTTAATTTTGACTTTATGAATGTATATATCACACGAGAAAACCTTACCTGCCCTGGTTTAGCGTCCTCACATATAGAGGCTTCGTATGGTGTGGCCAGTTCAGGAGGATTGTCGTTAACATCCAGGATTCTAATACTCACTGCTGAGTGGGAGGCCATGGTGTGGTTATCTGCAGGAGAGACAGAAAAAAAACAAAAAAACATTAACATTTTCTCTTCAATTCAATTAAGTGAGAAGAACCGTGGCAGACCGTGACAGCGTTTGTTTTGGAATTACTTTCAGGCTGGATTTGGTGAAACAAACCACAAAGTTTCTGACAAAGTAGACTGAAGAAAATCTGAGTTTATCTAGACTATAGTGGTTAGATTAAATAGGGGTATGACACATAACACTGGTGCTTGACAAACGAAATCACTGAGGTTTCTGATCCCGGTTTCTCAAATCATAGCCTCTACACACTCAAGACTTTTTCAGTCGTCCACCTGCATCTATATATATATATATGTATGTGTATATGTATAAGCTATTTGAGCTCTGCCAAGATGCAAGGGACCCCCCAGCAGTCCTAGAGCTGAACAGATCAGGTGTAGACATGCACAGCCATTATAGAGGCTGGTCTGCACGAGGTGTAAGAGTTGTAAGACCATAGGTAAGACTCTTCATCCTTCATTCTTTATGAGTGAGGCGAAACTCTGATGGATGCCGTTTTCCACGAGGAAGCAGACGGTGCTGAGGGGTTTTAATGTAATGCCTCCTCAAATTGCACCAATTACCTGAATAACACTTTCTGGCAGCAGTGGGTGATGGGAAAATGGCAGCGAAGAATCAATTTTGTCTCTAGGTTCTCACAATTTGATAATGACACTACAGTATACGGCTGTTTAATAGGCTGAGAGCAAGAGGCACACCTCAGCAGGGTGATAATCACAAATAAATGCTTTTGACTAAATTGCAAATGCAGGGCTGTAATTTTACTTCTCATGCCATTTCTAAATAGATAAAACACAGCGACGCGCTCTCAAGACATTTCTTAATGTGCCAGAATATAAACGTGGGAGTGGAGAAGATTATATAATTAGTACAATGAAAAACCACTTCAATTTAGCTAAACTTCTTGAATCTTAATCCCCATTCCTAATCATATGATAATGTCTGACTTAGTTTCCCTTTAACTCATAAAACACTATGTACAGTGCAGAAGGGAGCTCGAGGCCCCCAGTGCATCTTTAAATGTGTCTGCACGAGTGTGAGTTAGAGAGAGAGAGAGAGAGAGAGANGAGAGAGAGAGAGAGAGAGAGAGAGAGAGAGAGAGAGAGCATTATCAGTGTTGAATGAGTGATGTGGTTGCTTCAAGTGTTGGTCTGGATATCCTGGTTAATTAGAGTACACAGCTTATGAATAAATGAGCATGCGCATCTGTCACCACCCAGTTTACACATCGGAGTGGCACCCTACAGAAGAAGTAGCAACATGCAGCCGCTCGCAATTACCCGACGATGGAAAAACATACATAAATCCTTGCAGTTAAAAGAACTCTACTGAAGAGATGAAATGGTAGCAATTATGTAAATAAAGTAGGCAGTTAAACTACTCTTCAGAATGAGCACCTTCACATTGACACATGGTCACTATATATAAAAAAAACTGAATGTTAAGTGATCCAGGTTAGAATTTGCAATCTTAATTGTTGAAAACTATTGCCCATGGATAAATGTGGTGGTGACCTGGAAAAATTCAGTCTACTCAATCTACAGTTTACTTTGTAACACATTGAAATGGACTGGGTAACATGTTCAACTGTAACTGTTATTGAAGTAACTAAGTTTCCTAGGATGTCAGTAAACGTGGTAGAACCGTTATCTCAGCGACCTATGACAGTGATTTGTGTGAGTTAGCATAACGCTACTCTGTTGGCAGGATAATGGACAGCTGTGATTGTTCCTGTTGGTTCTTGAGCAGATGTTACCCTGCAGCTGGATGTTAGCTCGGAGTTCACACTGAAACCAGGCAGGATTTGATGTTTTGGCATTGGCTAAAACACAAACAGTAACCTGGGCTATCCCTATCACACAGGTATTAATAAATGTAGGCAACTACAAAACAACTACTTGGTTATTATCGTGGTTAACAGTGGGAAAATAATACCTTCATTGTTGAAATACATAAATTATGACTTTTTTAGACAGTTAAGTATTTTTGTTTTGCCAATAAACACATTTCAAATCAACCAGCACACAGAAAATGACCTATATAATTGTAAAGAAAAACTCCAACCAGATAGTTTACATTGGTCTTGTAATGTTCCTGGAGAATGGTCCCTCATAAGTTATCTCTATTAATTATTTTACTCCCCAATGTGAAACAATAATAATTTTTCCTCTTATTTGTCTTCACAGCATTTTGTTAATATTTCTGTCCTTTAACATAAATATCAAGGCCTAAGGAGTTGACGTGTTTGCTTAAATTGATCAATTTCCCCCCCCCCACACTCAGTCAAGCCTTTAAGACACCATGTCTATGATTTTCTTCCATTTAGGAGCAGAGCTAATGACAGATGTCCACAGCTGACATAGGTGGGCCACAGGCTGGATAGAAGAAAATGACGAGGTTTACCAGAGAGAGCAACTCAAAACGATAATCATCAGACTATGGCAGACGAGCTCTCTCCCTCACTCACTACACAGCTCTGTCCAGCAGTGGCACAGCAGCTAATGAGAATGCCGCTCTCAACTAATAGCATAATCCTCACATCAATGCTGGGTTTTAATTGACTGCTTTTTGCTGGAGCAGCAAGAACATAAATGTACAGAGAGCCTCACAGCGCCAGATATCTCTTCTTCTTCTAATTTCGTCTTCACATTATGCCGCTGTCCCCGCTGTGCCAGAATGAGAACCAGCAATCATGAGATGCTGCACTTTTTACATTTCAATTCCCAGAATTGAAAACAGATGAAACAATGTGAGGATGCCCCCCCTCCCTCCTACCCATTGGAAAACTCTCTCCATGGGGAAAAAAGGAGTTATTCAGTGAGACAGGTTCAATCATCTGGACCAAGTGGTGCTGTTCTAAATCTGTCTTCAGATAGAGAAGGAGAATAAAAGGATTTCAACAGATTATTGGCATGCTCTGCATCTGTGAGGCGCACACCAGCTGTTGCAAATCCTTCAGAATGACTATAGTAGATCTTTCAGGCACTGAATTACACTGACATAACTTCAGGGAAGACAGAGAGAGGCTGTGAGAGTGTGCCTGCATGTCTTTGCATGTATCCTTGTGTGTGTGGGTTTGTGTCAGGGGTGTCATGCTGCTTGTGACCGAATGGCTCATCCTCTTTGCCGGAGGAAAGAGTTTGGTTTAAAATGTCACTTTTGGCAGGAGGGGGGGAAATGAAAACGCAGCTGTAGTCAACAGTGTCTGCTTCTGGCCTGTTTCCTGAGCCAGAGGCCCAACCATGAAGACGCAGGGGCTCCAAAATGTTACGCTTGTTTGTCTTCAACTGCATATTGTTCCAAAATTACACAGATTCACAAAGGTCTGACCAAATTCTCTTCATTATACTTTGTGTGTTCAAGAAGTAATAGCTGTAAATGATCAGCACAGCATGTTTCAATTGTTTCACACTGAATTATTTATTTGACAATCTGGGAAATGGGCAAATTATATGGTGCACGCTTCATGAAAAATAAACTTAATACATTTCAACAATTACCCTTTTATCAAAGACAAACATGTCCACAAAAGCTCACATAAGCTGATGCTGCTTTATGGTCTTATCAGTGGCTGCCCTCAAACAAGGTAATGGAGGAGAAAACAACTCAGTCCCCTGGATTCCATGTACAATGAGAGCCACTCATTTCCATTACAATAGTCAGCCAGCATATATAACGGGAATAATATACACCACTATAAAGACTGAATAAGTTAAGCATCTGAGAATACACATATATCTGATATACCAAGGATAATATAATCAAAATATGCTTCCAAAACGGATCCTCTGTGTCAGCTGCTTTACATTCATTTCCATGACAAAAGAAACCTTGTAGGACAAAACCGATGCAAACAACAATCCTGACAAAGCGATCAACCAAGACAAGTGATGTTTGCTCTGTTTACACTTTAACAGAAACATTATGCACACTTATTTATGAATTCTCATACGACGTCATTCAAATGTATTTTAAGTTCTGAAAATGTGTGACAGATTCTACAGTGTGTGAAATGATTTAGTTTACTATGTCTTTCTTAGTCTACTATAGGGAAGTCCTCAAACACAACCTTCCGCATTAGCTTTAGGGACAGTTTGAGAGCAGTAGAGCATTTAGGTGAGGATAGGCGTCTTGGTAAAGGATGTGATATAACTATATTCTCACATGGGCTCAGTCGGAAATCATCGGGACAGTTTGGGGCTGGCAGGAAAAACTACAGCAACTGACTTGGACACTTGTGTTCTCACATACAAATAAATTATTGAGTCTGAAGTTCAGTGCAGGTCTGTAAGATGCATTCATCTATTTGCTCTCCTATGATATCCACACAGTCTCGAGAAGTCACGAGTGTGACAACGTTTTGTTCGCTGAAGTCTTGTAATCTTATCTTGTAATAAAATAAAAGTCTTTTTTTGTCAACTTCACTCCTGTAAAAGTATTTGATGCCGTCGGAGCCTCCCTCTTCAGAGGCGATATTAACAACATACTTTGTTTGAAAACTGAGAAATGTGTCACAGTGACACTTTCCCTTGAATATATTTCCCATACCTCTAGAATCAGACACTGTTTCGAAATCCTGCTGACTCCACTTTTTTACAAACTGGAGGACGACTTGGCCGACTGCCAGTGGAGGTGTTCTCTGAAAAAACTTACCACATTAATCTGAGCTCCTCAAAAATGTTTCTTCGTTCTTTGCTGGCACTTCTTTTATGAGTTCTCTAGTGTTTCCAATTATGTCAAGGGAACATTTTATTCATTCATATCATCAATGCAATCAACAGATGTTGTTTCTTAAGAATTAAATAAGTCATCATGTCCCCCTTAGCTAAGAGCAATCCTCTTAACCTGCCAGTGAGAGTCTTTGTGTGGTGACACTTTAGATGATGCACGATTTGTCAAATGAGTATTAAGGGTAATCGGTGTGATAATGATGCTGCATCGTAGTGGTGGATGTATCATGTCTGTTTTATTAAAATCCACCGAGTGGGGTTTGAATCATCAATGAAGAGATAATAAAGCAAGCGACCAAATAGTACACTTTCTATTTATCCCAGCGGAGACTACGAATCTATAAAACATCAATAAAGAATAAACAACAAAAAAAGTTGAATAACCCAGATGACAGTGGTGTGTCTGAGGAACCATTTATACAATAATTTGGGACCAGTACAAAAACTTAATAACTCTGTGGCTTTGAGTGCTAGGAATTTCCCACAAGCACTTAGTATCATGCAGTACACGATGCACGACTGCTCTCTGACAAATTAATTATAAACTTACCAAGTGTAGGAAAACATATCACATCAGTGTTCGGGATCTCCTCCTCCTCCACAACTACATAGACAATAGAGCGTAACAGTGGCTGCTCACTTTTATAATTGCTCTGCTGAGGTTAATGTCCCATTAATTTTCTCTTTTGATGTTTCAGAATATCTTAAGAAAGAAAGTTTGAAGCCTGGGAACCGGCCGACCAGCAGCTAGATGAATCGTGAAAATAAAACATTTGATTTGGAACAAAAAATATTGGGAAACTGAAAAAAGGTACAGACATAATTATATTAAGAGTGAAGAAACTAGGGGCAGTGCAGTGCAAATGTCAATGAGGGCATTTCCCTGCCTTTCCCAGCCTTTTCTCCTTGCTCTTTGGTGTGCTATTGGTTTGTCATGCAGCAAGTTAGAAAAGTTATTCTGTAGAAAATGTCTTCCCCACAACAGTGCAAGAGATAAAGACTTTCTAGCTTCTTCGGTATCTTTTTGCCCTCAGGGTGATTTTTTTCCCCCTCACCTACCTGTCCGGGTAGAAAAAGCAGTTTTGCAAGGTGATATCATACTTGCTATCAGTTCTTGAAAATTGTATGTCACTCTGACTTACCCTGATATGTTTCTATGGAGAAGACTGTCAGGGAGTACGAGTACCCTGCCTAGTGACGGAGCAGTTAAATACTACTCCTGTTCTAAGGAGCTTCTGTGTTCCCTGGAAGGGAGACAAGTACTACACAGCTGAGAGCTTGTGTCCTCTTTTGCACCGACAGTGTCTGCAGGAAGAGATGCTAGTGGTTGCTATTCTTTAACTGGTGAATTTGATTGGTCGGGTATCATAACAGTGCAGTTAGCTCGCACTTGAAGTAAAACCTCTTCACGGAGCCCACAGACACATGAGCAGACATATTGTTCTTTTCATGCAGTTTTGTGTCTGCGGTTAATCCCAGGGCGCAGACATGAAGAGCTGTCGGAGAAGCTGTTGTCACTTGTCGAATGCTGATGCGGTGGCAATACAACAGCTCAAAGGTCAGTAATGGACTCGGGGAGTGATTAAGGTTTGTGCTGCAAAACTCTGGTTTTAACAATGTGCACAGACAAGTTGACCTTGTGGCTCTCCAGCCTTAATGAGCACAGGGACCCCGACAAAAAAAAATATCCAAATCATCATGGAGAAAATTAAGTTCTTTCTTAAAATACTCCAGCAAGCTTCTTCACAATGTGCATCCCACCCGCCCCCCCACTCCCACCTCTCTTGTGGCCCTTTTTCTTTTCTATCTCTGTCTCCTGTCTGTGCATCTACAGCTCTCAGGACTCCAGGAGCTATCAGGTGATAAAGAACCACCATGGATGGGAATCCTGATGGTGCTGACCACGGACTCTGTCAGTGCAGATGTTTCATTGGAAGGCAAAGTGAGAGGCTTTATCTGTCAAGTCCAGGCATGTGTTTATGTCTGATATTGGAAGGGGGGGTTGGGCCGCTTTAAATGTTCAATTAACATTAAAATGTGCCTATGACATAATGCCAAGCACAAAGAGGCAGAGCACAAAAGCACCCAAATTGCTCTGGGAATTACAGCCTGAAGAAAAAAAGAGAAAGACTCAGAAAGTCTAATTTCGTCTTGATGTTTGTGTTGGGTGAGACTGCTTACTATTCAGTTTAGGCCATATTGATTATTGCAGTAATCACAGTCTGTGGCTTTATGAGAGAGGAACAAATATGAAGACATTTTAAAATCGGCTTTGTTTATGTGCTTTGTTTTCTGCTTCCGTCTTATGTGCGATGGTGAATACCAGTTAGATGCAGAATGCAATCTCCTCTGCTTTCACTGCAATCCCAGAACCACTTCATCTGTGTAAGATTGAAAAAGTGTGGAATAGGCCTCCTCCCTTCTCAAGTTTACTTCTAATGATATTGTAATAACTTCCCCCAGTTTCCCCAAGTTATTGCATTCTTCATGTTCTTCGCTATGACAACAGGAACCAAGGAGATAAAAAAGATATAAGCTCTGTAAGCTCTTCCTTCATTTTCAGTCATGGCTTTTTGTGCTCACCCACTTTTAGCAAGATTGGTGATAAAATTGTATTTGGATTGTATTTCTCCACCTTGCATCAGAAAAATGATGAATCAAGTGCATTGATGGCTTCTACTCTAGACGATAATGACCATGATGGGTTGACAGAACAAATATAAACTGTTTCAGTGATCTGACTTTCTGAAGACTATTTCTAAGCTATTTAGTTTGTTGATCACTAAACAGAAAAGATAAATAAATCTGAACAAAAAGTCACATATATTATCAGATTGCATTAAAGTCCTGGAAATATATATATAAATATGTATATACACATATACAGTATATGTATTTTCAATGGTTGGTTTACAGACAAACAGGCATCAGTGCATGCTGAAAAAAAACTACATCTTACATGAAAACATTTCATTGCTATACAGTTATAAAGTTTAATCAACTTTCACCCCATGACTCTTCCTGTATCTTGACTCTTCCTGTATCTTGGTCTCACTTGTAGTTACCGACAAAATCTTAAGTCTTTTTCTATTATTAGCGTTACTTTCCTAGTCCCTGTCTTTTCAGAGCTGAAAGCCACAAAATTCCACTGCTAGAAAATGTGGCTTCAGTGGCTAAAGATCACATCAGTTTAGGTTTGTCTGTCACCCCTTATCATCCCCAGTGACAAAGCAGGTCAGTCGTCAGAGCAATTTTAACTTTGTCATTTTGCTGGGCTGTAAAGAGTTCAAACAAATGCAAGTAGTTTCAGTTTAATTTGTCATTATCGAGGTTTGGTTGTTGTATTATTTGTCTGGCTGAACTGTAATTTTTACATAATAAAAATAAATATCAACTATTTGTTTATTCTATTACAATTATATTAGTGTAATCATAGTGTTTTTCTGCGAGGATTTGTTTTGACTTTGACACATACAGAGAAAATGTCAAAACAAAACTTTGAGACACAACTTGTTTCAGGTTAATCAAATTGAACGACCAACATATTGTCAGCCCCGTTCAGAAATTGTGTTGAGGAGAAAAATGTCACAAGATAATATATTATCTTGTGACATTTTGTGAAGTGTGCAGTGTGAAGATGTGGAAACCCTGCGTGATGAGCTCAATTTGAAACGAGGGGGTGACGCACGTACCTGCTTCCACAGCCTTCACAGTGATATTGTGCCAGCCTGCAGTCTCTCTGTCCAAAAGCTTGCCCAGTGTGATGGCACCCGAATCAGGATCAATATGGAAGATCATCTCCTGGTCTGTGGTCCGATCGATGGAGAACCTATTACAACAGACAAGAAAAAGTGAGACGTACTTTCAATGTTGAGAAAGAGAAATAGTTAGTGAGAGGTAGGTGAGAGAGAGTGTATAGGAATTTCAATTTTGACGTAAATTGAGTTTTTCTTTCCATGCGGGCTTTGCAAGGACTTTAACTAATTTAACTATGGGCTACACTAAAGACCAACAACTTATTCAGAAGGGACCTGGCTAAAGTAATTATGTTTTAAAGGCATTTAAAGGAGACTTGTCACAGGTTCTGTGACTTATTAGCGCTGAGTCCCTTAACTGGAAGCAGCTATATACTGACTCAGTCGTTGCCTATTCAGAGTAGGAAAACAAACATTAAATTTTCATTGTGTACTTTAGAAAAACCCACAAAAGCAGCATTCCTTCTTTTGGGTACTTGGTGCTCTCAAAAGATTGGTGAGTCAACAAAAATCTGCTGAAAGGTTTCTTTGTTCTTAGTTTCTCATCACACACACAGCTGGCTATACCAATAATAGCATTATCAGCCTCTCTGCCAAACATGCCAGCCAGCATTCTCCCCCAGCTCTCATGAGACTGCTGGTCACATGCTGTAGATATGAAAGGTAACGTTAGGTGAACCATATGCTATCGGTGTGTTAAAGAAAGCATGGACGCGTTCTTCGCATATTAGTGTTTGCATTTGTGTTTTATTTATGCCACTGAATGTCAGTAATTCAGCCTGTTTATGAATTACTTCTTGTACTGTTTATAAGACGTTGAATGACTAGATTTGGATGAATCGTCCTCAAGATGATCTGTGTTTAAAACGCATTTTCGCCTTTTTGCATGAAAATCAATAAAACAACATTGCAATTAAACATTCTGTGTCTGAGACCCTGACATGAGTTTACAAACTCCCACACAGACAAACATGCAGCCTCCATGTGCTATATATCTATCTGCATTCATGCCCTCGTTTAAATTAAAGCTCCTACATGGAACTTTTCGTTGATTTTGGCGACTCTGTGAACCAAAGTATGGACACTGGACATTCACCGCCTCAACATCGGCTTTTCCTGCCTGACTGACGTAATTAATTGCTCTGACCTTGTGGGTATTCCGTCCCAACCACAGACATTAAGAACAGTTTCTAGAAAAAGCCAAATTTCCCCTGATTGTCTCATTTGCTGTTGAAGCTCATAGAGAGGCAGCAATATTAAAATAAGACAGTTTCATAACCAGTTAAAAACTCCTTGTAGGGGTTTAACAAGTATACCAGTTATTGGATTTGACTGAATCATATTTACAGCTACCACTAAAACCTGTTTTCAGTGTAGGAACTGAAAATAACATTTCTCTTCCCTGTACCAAACCAAAAAATTGTGCTGTACAGTTTCTTGTGCTAACTCTCCTCCTTTCGTAGATATTGGATTGAGACAACAGACTTGACCATAAAAAAGGAAAAAAACACAATAAATAATATATAAAGAACAAAAATAAATCTTTTTTTTCCAGTACATATCAGGTTTTATAGAATGGGAGTGGAGGTCATCCCTGTGGTTTCAGTCTTTCACTAGTTCTTTGGCTGGTGAACACAAAATCTCCCACCATCAGAATCAAAGCACTTGTTTTTCAAATATTATCCATCAGTGGCACAAAATACAAACTTGGCTTCCTCGCACATTCTTTACTACATTGACATAATATAGGCAAAACAGCATTTACTGTGTATCCTTTAAAAACAACCACTTGTTCTGAATTTCACAGCAGATTTTAACATGTGCTTCTGAACGAAAGCTTGGTTGAATCCTTTTTCTTTGTTAGTTTTGGTGTTTATTTTATGACAAGTTCTATTTTCAGTTTTAGAACAAAGATATCGGACATCAGATCCACAGCACACACATACTGTATTTTGCACAATATTCTTACCACGCAGGTGCTTGATTATGTGGACTTTAAAGGGTCATCTATTGTCAGAAGCCATGAGCTGGCTAATTTTGCTCTGTGGGTGGCTCCTCACCAACCTCTCACCCTCCCTCGCTTTCCCTCACTCACACGTTCACTTAATCAAACACCGTCTACACACTCAGTCATATATGGGTTTGCACGTATCACACACACTTCCAGCTCTGGGCTGCCAAGACACAGATGAACAACAGCGCTGCCACTGTGTTGTACTTTATTACACCTGGATCTCTGAGCCTCATGCATTTTTAATCAAGTTAATTTGCACAGGCCCTGCGTGGGTCGGTGTATCTCCGTCAGAGAGACTGTGTTAGACCTTATCTGTATTCCCCTCTCACACCACAATTGCTCTTCTGAAGACGTATAAATCGCAGACCTTGGTACAGAAGATTATCAGATGATACTGTTTTTTATCACACACAGTGATCTGAGAGTAAAAAGAGATGCACTGTATGGCTACATTCATTGTGCCAGTCCCACTGTTCTCTGTTTGCTTGGGCTTTCACTACATCAATCTATTCTTAAAAAAGACCTTGCGCTTAAAACTATCAGCTACCTTTTTACTTGTTTTTGATCAGGCTACAGAATTAGAAGTACAAACTCAGTACTGTTGGCTCATACAGTCTTTATCTAATACATTTTAAGTAGTAGTGGTAGAAATTCCAATGTGGGTCATAATCTTGTCATTGTCCAGTGTCATCAGCATAAACAGTATAAATCAATTCAATGTTTATTGCCCTGAATCTGATTCAATGTGACATTCTACCACTGAGACATTTTTCTTCATCAGAGGCTCACACCCTTCATCTTACCTGACAGGTATATCCTTCACATCTGGATCTCTGGCAGTGACGACGCCAACCAGAGCTCCTACTTTCGCATCCTCCTGCACTTCCATGATAGTGCCCTCTGCAGGTTGAAAGATGGGTGGCTCATCGATATCCGACACACTGACCCGCACGATGGTCTGGTCTCGGAAGGAGCCCAGGTCCACAAAGCGAGGGTCAACATGCTTATTTACCGCCTCCACCACGACATTGTGTGTGCGCTTGCTCTCAAAGTCCAGTGGCTGGAAGATAAGACACGCCCACAATGCTCATTACTGACACTGATGGCCAGAGGGAATAACTAAAACAATACCAATGAATGAGTGTGTAAGTGATGCAGTGTAGATTCCAGCAAGAACATGTATCCCATGATCAAGTTGATGGTTCTCCTCAAGTTATCATGATGCCAGAAGCATCAGCAAGACCTCGTAGGTCATCACTACTGTTGGCTGGTTAAGATTAGCACACTGTTGCAAATGAACCAAACATTTTGTTATTAGATACATTTGTAGGTGACCATTTTCTAGCACAAAGTAACCATTGCTTCATCCTGTTTATGTTAAGGGTTCATAAAAAACTGTAATTTCTGTCGTGCTGATAGAAGACAACTGAATCATCTGGCATCATGTTTGTGATGAGTTATGAATGAATTTACAATGTGAGTTTGTGTCCTCCACCAATGACGTCATGTTTTTACCCCTTTTTGTTTGTGGGTTATTTAGTTTGTTTGTCTGTTAGTTTTCTCAAAAACTATTGAACAGATTTCCATAAAACTTGGTGGAAGGATGGAGCATGGGCCCAGAAAGAGGCATTTAAAGTTCTTGGCAATGGACCCCAATTTCCATTCATGGAGCTTGATCAAGCATATTTAGGTGACTTTAGGATTGTGTGCAATTTGTAATGGATCCTAACAAAACATCTAGGGATCTAGTGGATTTAAAAGTAGCTTCATAGCAAAGCTCAAAGCCAACTTTGATTGGATTCCATAGGTGTGTATCTTCAACAGTTTCAGAACTATGCACAAATGAGCATGCAGTGTTTAAGGACACGTTTGTGTATTGGCATAGGTGTGCGTTCTACTGAGTCTTTTTTTCTTTCGTCTATATTCTATTGGTATGACTTTGCCTCTGTGCTGATAAAATACAACACCAGCTTAAAGGACTACAGTAACTGTGCAGTCTTCCTGTAAATGAACTTTACCTTCTTGATGGAGACAACAGCTTCCTGGGTCTCCACATCAGTGGTGACCTTGAAAAGATCGCCTCCCTCTTTGATCAGATAGCTCATGTCTGTGTTATCCCCCATGTCTGCATCCGTGGCTATGACACGTCCAACTGGAGTCCCCAGAGCCGCTCCCTCAGACACAGAAAACTGGTACATCTCTGGTTTAAGGAGAAAGTGAAAAATAAAAAAAATAAAAAAATCAGTTAGATTTGCTTAAGCCACAGCAGAATGAGGTGACAAAAAATGTGTATGCTTATGTGCCGAAAAGCACCAACAGAAGAAGAATGAGAAACATAGGTTACATGGAGAAAAGGAGGAAAAACACCAGTGGAGGGAGGGAAAAGAAAGATAGATGTTTGGCCGTAGGTAGAAAAGGGAGAAAGGGAAGTGAGGATATTGGTAGAAAAGATGGATAGGGACTAGAAACAGAAACGTGGGATGAGGAAGGGAATGAGATCGGGACAGAGATATAAAGACATAAAGAGAGAAGGAGACAGGTAATGGAAAAAGGAAGTTGGGATGGGAGGTAGACTCCAGAAATCTACTGACAGATAATTACATTTACATATACATACATTTACTGACTCACATTATTATTTCAACAATTTCCTGCATCTCAAATATCATGTTTTGTGCTATAACCCATGACACCAGCCTTATCTTTTACCAACCATTAAGAGTCACATTGCAAACGTGACAAAAAATTTAAAAATTAAATAAATTAAATGTCAATTATATTTAGATTACATTTTTAATCGTAATTTTTAATTGTATTATGATTCTGTAATGCGTGTATTAAATTTAAGCCATGTGGTGTGCATGAGCATGAACATATTAATGTTAACATTTACTTATTGTAAAAACTGAATATGAAGTCACATTTCAATTGGCAGAAAAAGGCCGGGAGTAAACGTCTGCTCGAGTTCATCATGAAGAAAATAAAAGGAGAAAAGTAAGACGATATTGTAAAACTTTATTCTTCCCCAGAGGCATATTATGTGAAAAACTCTTTACATATACAGAGTGCCATCTTCCTTTGCATCTTATTTATGAGTCTGCCTTCCAAAGTGTATCTATCCCCAGTAGCATTCAATGGAGAAGCTATAATCCTGCAGGGTTTATCCCTCTGACTGGGTAAATATGATTTACTGAGATGAAAAAGGGATTTATACACAAATAAGATAAAGGTGTGGAAACATATCAAATACAATCAAACATACTGTCAGATGCTGTTCCTCCAGCTGTAATAAAAACGAATAGATTAACTCTGGAAAAAGGTAGAAAAAAATAAACGGCTGAAATGAAGGCAAGATAAAAATTAAATATTATTCAGATAGTGCAAACAATTAACACGATAATGTGGCGTTAATAGTTTGTTTTAAAAAAGTCAAAAAAACAAAAGTACGTACAGTTTTTTGGGTTTGTTGAAAAATAAACCAGACACTCGTTCTTTGCTTTGCTGACGGCTTCAATTCAACTTGTTGATTTGAGACTGACTGTATTTGTAATGGAATGTTTTACACCTATACCTGTTGAGCCTGCGTGATCTGAAAACGATGTGAACGCCATTAGGACCAGAAACCACCTGACCATCATAAATCCTTTATATAACAACGAGGGAACAATCAGCAACAGTGATTCAATCCTTTCTTGAGTCTCACATAAAAAGAGCAAGTATCAGTTCCCCGCAGTTGATGGACTACTACAGTTCTCTGTGTTGCAGGTCTGACTGGCCCATAAATTTTAGTTAGGCGATTTTCTCCAACTACATGCAGCCCATTCAGTATGGCCACTGATGCTGCCATACTGGTGTCAGCGGCCTGCAGGTTGCAAATTATAATGTGTCTTTTGTCATGTTTCCATGTCTTGGCTTTCGCTTTCCTCGATATTCTCCAATTCTCGCTCTTTTCTTTACACCCTCAACTCTTTTCTCTCTAATTCCTCCCCGTCGTGTGTCACGACGTCTCTCGCTCTCTGTCTAAAGAAAGCAAATGTGCGGGAAACACTCACTCTGTGGGAAGCGCGGTGGGTTGTCATTAACATCTGTGATCACTATGGTCACTGTGGTGGAGCCCGAGAGACCGCCCATTTGTCCGGCCATGTCTGTTGCCTTGACGACCAGCTCATAACGATCCTGTGTCTCGCGGTCCAAATCTGCCACCGCTGTCATGATGATCCCTAATGATGGAGAGATGGAGGAGGGATCAGGGGAGAGAGACAGAGAGAGTGCGGAACTAGTAAGTGAGGCCAGTGGAAAGGTTGCATTAGTGGTTAGCACTTAAACGATGACTACATTCCCCTCTCACTTTGAATATCAACTTCCGCTAAGCACTGTATTATGGAGGCACAAGTGCAGCACATTCTATTTCATCTCCTCAGACAGGCTGGATGGAAGAGATTGTGTCATATTGCAACTCTGCCTATACACCATTTTATGGCTCAGCTGTATTAAAATGAATAATATATAGCAGCAGAATGAAGGCATGCCTCAGCCCGCCTGCACAGCATTACAACTCTTCCATGCTGGATCAAGCTGCACTCAAGCCTGAGAAGTGGCTTTCCAAAGAGAAAGGGAGTGACACAGAGAGAGATATTACATTCTGGGTGAGAGAGAGGTATGAAGCATTCAAAGAGATGCACAAGCACTGACTTCATTTTACTCCACAGTCCACATTCTGATAAAATAAGAGTCTATTACAAAAAACAATTAATTAAATAACTGAAAAATCATTTATTCTACGTCTATTCCTAGTGAACATTTGTCGAAACAATCATTCCACTTTGTCCAAATACACACAATGTGATCTCTGGACCATAATGTCATGTCATTGTTGGGATATGAATATATGACATTCTCTTTGTAAAGGTTAGATAAAACTGTATTCAGTTTCTGTGGTTCCTCTTTTTATTCTATGTATGTCTCACAGACCAGCACATGGTCCTCCTTGGTGTAAAAGAGACATTCCCCTTATTGGCCCAGCAGCAGTGGCATCAGGAGCTGGCTGGTTTGCTGTGCAGTAGTAATATAATTCCACTTTACCCCTCGGGATTTTCCACATCAGAATCTATTGATGCATTTCCTGGGCTTGGTGCGCTGTCTCACTCCCAAAGGTTTGCACTGTGTTGGGTACACAACTCACTGATTCCAGTCACATTTAGCCCAGGGCTGGTTCTCTGAGTCGCCAAAATACAGTACATTCAGCAGAGGAGTTAAGGAGCGAGGCAGATGACATGCTCCTCTTTCATCCACCAAACACCAGAGGGGATGGATCTGAATTAGGAAGAGTGAAGAACCAATCTGCAACTAGCACGGCACCATTGCTCTGATTTCATGGTAGTGCCTGTATGTAGAGGAATCTGTATGACTGCAATAAGATAAGCCTGTACGCATCACAATCTAACCAGCTGTGTGCACACACTGTGAAGTATTGCCTCAATATGATGCATCACATGAATGTAATATAAATTGCCATGTTTTGACCATTTGACTCATATCCTTGCATCAGTTCATCTGACTGGGCAATGAAAATCCTTACGATCTGTCTTTGGAACCACTGTAAAAATGAAATATAATTTTGCAGGGCTGTGGGGTTATTTTGCCTTTTGTGCCAGTTTACATTTCATGTCATCAACAGATGATCTACACATACTGCTGCACTCACTCTTCATGGTTGCATTCATTGCCCTCTGACATTGTAGAACCAACCTGCACATCTTAACTTTTTTCTCCTCTGGCCACAAAGATAAGGAAGCTTCCATCTTTCCTGTTTGTTTTGGAAGGAGGCGGAGGAGGAAGAAGGTGGCTCAGTGTTAGTGCCATAGATTGATAAAGATGGATGATGCTTCTTCACTTCCTCCTGTTGAGCAAAAATGAAGCTAAAATAACCCCAGTTACTGGTGCAGACATCTTGGGCTCTTTAAATCTTTGTACAATAGTGACTGATACACCGGCTCCACCCACCCACAGTCAATCTTGGCATTTTATAGCAAATGGTTAATTAAAACCAAACTTAGTGGTAAAATTAACGCTTGAAAATGATCTAATGTGTACTTAGACTTTTTTGTTTGGCAAATGTCTATGTATACATATATATATATATAAATGTTACAAATACAAATAAAGGTAAATCGCTTGTCAGAAACTTACAGTAATTGTCTGTACCTTAGAGGTCAGTCTGACCATCAGTTTATTTTAATAAAGCGCAGATGTTAATAGAATTTTCTTTGCTCCTAAATGAAGGACAAATGTATACAAAGTCTATTTCTAAGTGATAACAGTAACAGAATAATTCATTAATAAGTAGTGGAAAAGCAAAGCAACAAAGGAAATGTGTTTTTGTAGGCATTGCTTTTAAAATGTGAATTACTACTTTAAAGCTTTTTTATTTTACAATATCACAGTCAACTTTATATATGTATATATGTAAAGTTTATAGTTATATAATACAACTCTGTATAGAGTGTACGTTTCAGTCTTTTTAAAATCACCCCTTTTACTCAGATACTCACGACACGCACAGACAATTCCAGCGTGGTGACACTGCTGTTCAGTTTGTTGTCAGGGTGAGTGAGAGTGATATTAATGACGCAGATTTCACAGCTGCTATGTCTCCTCTTCATTTCTGACCTTCTTGACTCGCACCTATTAGGCTGGCCCGTCCGCCTACAAACTGGGGAGAAGGGGGGCGGGTGGAATGGGGGTCATGAGACAGAAGCTGGAATGAACCATCTACTCTCCTTGCTGGTCCCACCAAGGCAGAGCCATTTATCATCCAGGCACCGAGGCTGACCGAATCAAAGTGGTGCACACCAAAACAGGAATCATTAAAACTTTAGTGCTTTTCCCTCGGGGGGCATTCGAAGGCAACAGTGATGCTAAGCTACTCCTGAAAGACTGTGGGTCAGGCAATATCACTTCTATAAGCTCCACACCAGGGGGGAAATTGGGAGTTTTCCATTATAAAGCCGAGGAACATTGTTCATGGTGCAAATCTAGATGTGGTGCAACAGTAACCCAAAGATTCTGATATAATGGTAGATGGTGACTTATAAAAATGGATTATTCTCAGATCCTTAGCATTAGTGGGGCCAAAACATTAAAATGTTTATGCTATATTTGACTGTGGATTTGGTGCAATGGATTCTAGCAAACTCTCAAAAATCAATAAAACAGGTGGTATTAATAAAAGCCAGAAAAACATGTACTTTATGATTTGAATACCCAAGCCATATATGCTGTTGGCCTCAATGTCTATGCGTATTTAGCCTGTTGCTACTTCTTCACAGATAGGCTTGAAGGTGGCACTAAACACTGAGGAATTTGTGCCATATGGTATATGGTATTTTAGCACTTGCTAAGAGCAGTCTGCAGTTATTGGCTAAAACTTTATAAAGTTTCTTCTTCTTGGCCGATTGATTTTATGTTTTTAGGCAACAAATTTTGATTGATACGGGAGTTATGTTCTCTGAGCTTGAGATTGCTGATGGAACTGTGGAAAAAATTAAGGAGCACCAACGAAATCTTGTGAGGGAAAAAATGGCAAGTGCTTTGAACACTGCGGTTATTTATCGTTCTTACCAGTTTGTCTATCAACAGTAAAAAACCTTTCTCCATCCAGCACGCTGTACACCACTTTGGCACTGCTCCCGTATGTAGGGTCGTCGGCATCTGATGCAGTAACCTTCATAACAGATGTTCCTGCGGAAGATAGACAACAAAATGTCAGGAAAAGACATGAAAATGTTCAGGCCCGGGGTCATTGGGGAAGTGTTGGTATCTAAAAATGTGATTTAAAATCAGACTCAAAGAGGAAAGTTATTGCACATTGTACAAGGAAGAGCAGATGTGGTCATGTACGTGTTTCTTTGTTAGTTTTTGTAAAACGCTGTAACATCTATCTTTGACCAGTGTGAGTTTTTAAGGCCTTGACAGGGAGGACATTTGTGCTAAAGTCTGGCATACTGCTGTTTGAGCCCTATTTGTTATGTTTCAGATGAAATGTTGGTTTGAAGTAAGGTCTTTTGCAGTGGTTGTGGTTTTGGGCTTTAAAATGCAGCAGGGGCTCGCAAGTATAGCAACAATAATCTGTCTGTGAGTTTGTGCATACACTTGAGTGTTGTCTCACTATACTTGAGAGAGGAGGGTTAATGCAGTTGGGGTAACACTGCACCAGGTAACATTTCATCTCCAAGCACATAATTTTCCAAGCAAATTTTTTGATGTTTCCAATTACCTTCTCACCACACCAATCCTCAGAGCTGCTTTGCCTCCCATGGGCAGAGAAGTTGTTCTCAGAGATGAAAGGCAGCGTGCAGTCATGAAGTCAACCTTACATCTTCAAAGATTGTTGGCAGCTCACAAAAATCTACAGCAAACAATTACTCATGATTACGGGCACTTAGGCAGAGAATAGAGTCACTTCCTCATGAAACCTTAAAATTGAGATTGAAGGAGCAACGGTGTTTAAGTCATTACTTCCCTCTCTGCGTTGTTTGTCAACCATGTGCACACACAAGCCTCTGGCGGCAAATACACAGGCGCATCTCTCCATTTAGTCACACATTTTAGTTAAAGCTTTGCCTGGAGCCATTGAAACTTTATGGTTCTTCAATTTTAAGGTTAAAAAACTGCATACTTGCAGGTGAGCACATTTCTTTCTATAAATAATTGCACTTGCGGGCAAAAGGGGAGATTAAAAGGGAGACATTCCCGGTGCCATAGGTTGTCAAGGACAAGGAGTCAGTCTTTGTCCCCGGCCCTCTGGCCAGTGCTATGGGTAATTAGTGACAGCTGGTGTTGTCCACCAAAGGTCACCGCCATAGCCTTTTTTCCGAGCCCTGTCATGCTACTGTCCAGCCACATAATGGCCGTATGCTAATGATGCTAATTAGCGGAAAGTGTCAGAGCACTGTTTGTTTCCTGTCATCCAACAGGGCTCCTAAGGGGGGAGAGAGGGAGAAGCCAGTGGATTATCATTAAAGTCAACAGGCCATTAAATCAGACGGCTCAGATCACTCCCCCGCTGCTGTCACCTCATAGCTTTTCTTTTGTTCTTCATATATGTGGCTAGGGGCTGGTGTGATGCAGGTGTGAGTTCTACCTGGTCTATGATACAAATGAAACAAATGAGAGTTTACTATTCTGCAGCAATTCTGAAGGATGTGTCTCTGTGATTAATTAGCACAGCAGTGAATTATCCTAAGAAACAAAGCACATAATGGATGGATAAATGGACGGACCGGTGTTCCTCCAATGTGTGCAGCACCATCGGATCATCAATTCTGGTACTGTCTTCAACCTTGTGCGGTTCTCAGTTCAATCCTGATATATTGCAGCTCCCAGTGGATTTAAAGCACTGCATATTAACAAGGACGGAATGAGCTTTTAATTTATACACAGTCATTAACTCATACCAATATGCAAAAGTACACACCAGGCTGATCCCTGGACAATCAAGACATACAACATCCCAGTTGAGTGAGATATCGTTTTCATTGTATTAAAAACTTGAGGCTGTATGGAGGATGTGCATTTTCATTCCCGGCGATATGCAGGGGTTTGTTAATTCTGCCTACCTGGTTGGCTATACATCTGTGGGCCCAATGAAGCCATCTTCATCCATGGGATTACTCCCTTATCTTAATTTTCCCCAGGTAACAATCAGTCGGATGCTCAGCTTTTTTGGGGCTACTGGCTGGCAGCAATGTCAGATGGCTTGGAAGAACTATATAAATGCAAATGCTTCTTTATTGTGTTGTATATTAAAAGGAGAAGTGAGGCAGTCAGTTTGGCACTTAGGTTCTTATTAAAGCTCTGGCCTGCATCCCTGTTTTCAGTGGGAGAAGTCATTACTTACATTATCTGTTGGCCTGGCCAGCATCTCACTTAGACAGATTCTACTGTTGATGGACTTTTGGGAATTCAATAAGAAACCATTGACTTTTGCAGATTGGAATGTAATGCATATTGCTGTAGTAGGATAAGTACCAGATATTCCATTTCCAGAGAGTTCAAATCTTACTTCCACATGTTTGCGAATAAGCCTAAAGACTTACGGTTGCAATGATATTTATAATGCCTAAAATATACAGGTTTGTTTTTCTTTATTCCCTCTCAAAGGCACTTTTGTTCAGGTTGTTCAAGTACATATTTTTTGTTAATATTTTATGTCTGTTTTGATAGCACAGTGAAGGGCAGACAGGAAAGAGGGTGAGAGAGTAGGGGAACCAGGTGTATGCACCCAACATTATATGTTTCTCACATATCTTTGCAGTCACAAGACAAAATATATTGAACAATACCTCCTGGTCTCAGATAGACATGTATAAATAGTTTTTTGACACCTCATGTTTTTTTGTTGTTCCAACAGTGCAGGAAATTATTTTGTAAACCATAGAAACTTTGACATCACTGTTAGGTGTGATTATCTATGATCTTGCCACACCCAGTCAGAAAATAGACTGAAACTGTCAACTGGAAGCAACAAGTCTTAGCCAAGTTCTGACACTTGTTCAACAAATACATATTTAGTCACGTTGCTTGCTCATGTTTTCAGTGGCTCCACTTAGAGTGTAACTAATGTATTCAGCCTGCAGCTATTTACATTGTGGCTCGCAATATTAAAACAATAATGAATGAGAAAAAAATAAGGCATCATGCTGATTTTCATATACTGACTTTCAGTATAATAATTACATGATGCAACAGCAAATTATACTGAGCGGTTTTCTCATCATTTGCCAGAACATTCATGAGATCGACTCTGTTTAGCAGTGTTTGTCCCAGAGACGTTAATCTTCTGACAGAGCAAATCATTTACTACACATTTCCATCTTTTAAGTAACAGCCACATGTTATTATTACTTTTATCGCTTTAATATGGAAATTCCTCCACAAGACACTAACACTGTATACACAGGCTTGACGGATATATAACTTGCCTTTTATCATAATTATAAATGATGAGTATTATACTGTCAATTATTTGTTAACACTTAATCTACCTTTAAAATTATTATTTTCTATTTGTGCTGTAATATTGTTATAACATTGTCATGGTAGGACAGACATGCAACAGTCATTCTAAAATAATGAAATGGCATTTGAGCATGTGCACAATAACCCTTGAAGAATAATGTAAATAACACTGAGACAAAAACTAAACCTGGTGAAATGGAGTAAGGACGAGGAATGTTTTTGGGGCGTAGAGGATTCAGGGGAGGTTGGGTGACGATGGCTATATAGTAAGATTTATGCATAAGTTTGGTTTAATGGTATCAACACAGGCTGTTGGAATGGCTTCCCACAACACTTCAGCACTCTGGGAGAGATGGTTCAATTACTGTGAGGGGAGCTGGAGGAGGGTGCCACGTGTGAGACACTAGACTGACAGCTATTTAAGAGGCAGCCTCGTAAAAGAGATTTGTGCCCATCTCAGCTGGTGCCGTACTGGTGAGAGCTTCAGTGGAGGGGTCTAACGGCTGCAGCACAGAGCCCCTCTCCCGCTCCGACCCACCTTAATCTGCAGGACTGAGTGCTCCCTGCCCGCATTATGGATCATTTAGTAAAGCCATAAAAGCTGAGGTGTTTTCACATGAAAAGTTATTTCTTCACTACTTCCACTGTGATTCATTCCCCTCTCATCCACATAAATGCCTTGGGAGAGAGAGGGGTGGAGAGAGTGATGGAGAGAAAGGAGGGTGAGAAAGAAAGGAGTATAAAGGGAAGACAAATCTGCCATGTCATAAAAGCCAATGGCGTGCTTACATTGATCCTCCTCAAGATCTCCAACAAGGATTTAGGGATGTTTCTCACAGAGATCATAAATCGAATCTTTATTAGCCGTCGTACCAGCATTTTTTTTAATAGATTGGATCATTATTTGTTTTGTAGACAACATTGTGGCATGTCAATTTTAAATCCTAGCCTCTCATCACTTTCATGCATTCTCAAGACAAATAGTTACATAAGAAAAGGCGATCAGAGCACGGACGTCCTTTTGAAAACTTATGAGTCATCTCTGCCAAGATCAGGTCCTCTCCTCACACCCCTGACACTCTGACATGCACTGTGTGCACTTCTTTACCTGATCTTAATGTAAATAACTACTAATTCCAGGAATGTCTTTTCCATCTGTCTGTCTGTATGTAAAAATGAATGTCTTGACAACCATTTATATTAAGGGCTTCACACTTGGCATGTGTATGGGCGTCCAAAATCGCAACTAGATCATTTTAATATTTTAGTAGCTCCAGATCATTAACACAGAACAAGAAAACCGATTTCACTTAAAACGCAAAAACATGAAGCAACGAAACGTTTGTAGCAGAATGTTTTTTAAATACTAAATAAATGAGAAAAAATAAATCTGTCAAGTTTATCGAGCCACATTAGCAGACGAATTATTACATTTAAATACAACCACCCCTTTTTATATCTGCAATGCCCATGCTTCTCTTCCTGATTCAGATTGTCTACAATAATGACAAAATGGAGCCTTAATCAATTTCACAATTGTGACTAAACGGTGCTGCTATTGTCGTACGCATCTTCCATGCCTCTTCACACACTCTCTCTCCGGCCACCCTCCTCCCACGCCCAGACACTGATTCATACACATGACCACACACAGATCAGCCAAAATCAATTATGTTGTGCACCGTGGTTGAGCGCATAATGGTGGATGTTATTGGTCATAT